ATCCAAAGATCCCTGTGCTGGGCATAGAGATGAGTGGAGGCCATCTTGCCTTCACTGATTTCTAAGCCCTTGGGGGACTGGAGCAATGTCATTACGTCACTTCTGCTTCTAGTACCTTGTAAACGAGGCTTTTTTTTTTTTTTAATCTAATGGTTTATGTTGTAGAGAGATGTGGGGGTCTTGTTGACCTCATATCTCTCCATTAAGAGAACCTGTCACTGCTTTTTCTATCACAAGGAATGTTTTGATATAAAAGTGATTTAAAAAAAGTTTACACTCCCTTTTTATAAAAAAAAAAAAAAAATTTAAATTCAAAATGCCCCCACCCCCCCATGCAGTGGTGAACACATATGTAGGCCATACCCTTATATGTAAACGGTTCAAACCACATGTGAGGTATTGCCGTGAACGTCAGAGCAAGAGCAATAATTCTAGCACTAGACCTTCTCTAACTTTAAACTGGTTACTTGTAGAAATTTTAAAAGCGTCACCCATAGAGATTTTTAGGTTTGGTGCCATTTCACAAGCGCATGCAATTTTAAAGCCTGACATGTTGGGTTTCTATTTACTGTGTAACATCATCTTTCATATTTTACAAAAATTTATGGTATAGGTTTTTTATTCAATAAAGTGTATTTTTTTTTTTTTCCAAAAACTGTGTTTGAAAATATATATACATCTTTAAAAACTGTCCCTTTTGGTTTTCAGCCAAGTGCATCCTGAATTTTTAGTTTCAGCACCAGAATTTTTATTTCAGTACACCACTAATAAAAAACCCAAATGGGTCCTAAACCTACACTATCCAAAACTTATTTTAAAAAATGCTTTACTGCAAGAGGAGAATCCTTCCCATTCACAAAACAGATCTGGCATCTGTATCGGTTTACATACTTTTCAATGAATGAAGGCAGCAATTCCTCCAGGGATATGTGGCATTGGTATCCCAGGAGGCATTACTAGCCTTCATTCATAGTTACATGTGACAGCTGCACCAGCTTTTGCACAGATTTGTTTTTACTAAATCAACCCCACTATGTTACATTTTTTCTTTTCTTTTACTGGCTTCCTAAGAGCTTCTGAAAGGTGATCTATAATGACAACATACACTGTACCTTTATTGTAACAGCAATACAACAGCTAGTTTTGCAAGGCAACTGTCAAAATTGGGTCAGTCTACCCTCACCTGTGACTTCTATGGAGCTCTACTGCACAGCAAGGAAAGACTTGCAGCATGGTGGGATGTAAACAATTCTGAGGCTGCTGCCATTGGATCTCAGTATGCATCTCTTGGGGGGGAGGGGAGGAGCAATTAGGGCAACTTAAAGAGGCAAACAGGATTAGTGAACTTTCTCTGAAAAAAACTTACTAAGTTACTGGACAGTTATACAACCTTCCAGTTAACACTATTTAAATAAATTTGTTTATAGTTGGATTGTCAGCTTGTTAGAACTAAGCAAAAACCTCATACAGTTCCCATGTAGCAGTAGAACCATTTCCTGTATAATGTGTATGTCACGATTGTGCAGTAAAGGAGGTGGAGAGCATAGTTATCACAGACCTTAAAGCAGGATCAACACCACCAACACACTGTTCTGGTTATATTACAGTATAAGACAGCACTAGTAATGAAGTTGTATAGAATTGTTTTGTAACCCTAACAATCCATACTGTTCAATTGTACATCAGTTTTGTAATCTGACAAAATGTGCAATAAATAAAATGATCCTTTAAGCGTCACAACTCAACCTGTGTTTTTTGTTTTCAACACCCAATGAGCCAGCAAAACAACAAAGTTTGGACGTTGCCTTGACTCATCTCTAGCCCAATATCCAATAAAGATAACATTGCAAAACACAAGTATATCAAAAGAGTGTGTATTCTTTCTTCACACCTTAGTATTCAACCCTTCAGTATCTAGGGGTGCTGAACCTTTTAAAGCAGGAGGGCCACTTAAGTGATTTGGTAACCATTTGTCGACTATAAAGAAATGGTTCAGAATTTAAAACTTTTTATTTGAAATAGCATAATAAACAATTTCTTCCTGCAGCCCAGTGGGAGGGAGAGGAAGGGTGCCTCTGTGTAAAAGAATGCAACAGGCAGGCCACATGGGCCCCCTGGAGCATGGGGCGCAGTCACCATTGCAACCCCTGATGCTACACTAGTGGTTGGGAGGGGGGGTTGGATGTGGTATAAATGCACCTTAACTAGGGGGTTTTACTGCCCCCCCCCCCCCAAACTGCAAATGTGAACAAGCCCTTACTGTCCTGAGTTTCCTATAAGGCTGCTTACAAACACCGTGGGTGTAGTAAAGCGTAGGTGTGCTTTGCCATAAGGGTCTATTACATCTTGAGGATGTGGTGCACTGTCTGAAAAGACCAGACCCACAGAATATAATAGTCAAAGTCTGTGGCTCAATGCAGCTAACCTGCAAGTCAGTGTGAAAGCAGCCTAATGGTTTTTAGCACCTTTTTAATTGTGCCAATATGCCCATTGCAAAGGTATATGTGTTGTTTAATACACCAACCTTTTCCAGCTTCTGTTGACATGTTCCTGGCAGCTAGAAAAGTGCCAGAGGAAGTATTGACTCCTGCTCCCTCCACGAACGCCTACATGCGTCCGGCTCAATGCACTCTGCGATGGCGTGCCATCAAACCAAGCTCATGATCAATAGTATGCACTTCCCTGGTTTGAAATCATGGGGCACAGGTTGAGCACCCCTGCTCTAGATACACACACTAGTTCAGACAAACAGGTCTAATCATGCCTTGTGTTCATTTTCTCATCTAGGAATTGCTTCTCACAACTTTCTAATTCCAGCAGGAGTCTGAAATGGCGCACAATTATAAAATGAAACTTCACATTCTCAATCAACATGGACTATTTTTAATCCTTATACTGCTATCATTAGTATATAGATATGCAAACATGATATTCTTTCTAGTTTAATATTTTTTTTTTTATATATACATTGCTTGAGTTAGTTCCTGGTGCCCATGCCTAGGCAAATTATATAATACATCCCAGGAGAGGAAGGAGGGTTCTCAGCTCAGCCCATTCCTGAGCTAAGGGCAGATGGATTCCAAGAAGTAAAAGCTACATGAATAGTCTGCCCTTACTGAAGACAGCCACTGCCAGGGGGTGCTTTTCAAAATGATTTTTCAGCAAAATAAAGCCTGGAGACATGGATGGGGAGTTTGCTATGAATTTTAAAAATGAATTAAATAGCATTTTTGATTTGTGGTGCTTAGATACAGTGTAGTTACTCTTTAAAGAAGAAATCACCTCCCGTAGAAATGTTTATCACTTAGGTATAGTATACATCTTGTGGCACTTACAGTATGCTGATGTAATCAATGTGACCACATTGCAACCTTTCCTGTGTGTTTTGTCCAGTAGTGGACTTCCTCAGAATGCCTACAAGTACAGGACAACATGGGAGGTGCCCCATATGTGTGGCAACAATATGCATGTACAGAATCAAGACACTGCAGGGGTTTGAGCACTTGGTGTGTAAAAGAAATACTCTTTGAATTAAATTAACACTATTACCTTTATTGGACATATTCTTCAGAATACTTTAATTCGCTGTTAAGGTGCTCCTGGAAAGTTGCTAAAAGCTTACAACCAACAGCTGATCTTTATTAAGCACTTAGGGACTGGAGCTGAAAAGTGCTTTAAAGTCAACTGCAAATCAGTGGAAGCTCATTAAAAGTGCATGCTTTGATGGCTAGTGTTTACAACATATCACCTGTATATAAATGCCAGGTCCTTCTGAGATCTTTTTGCAGAAGATAGTATTTTTTTTTTTTTTTTTGAGAAGGTCATAGCATGACTGCACATGAGGTTTTACCCCCGTAAAATTACCTTGGAGCCCCAAAATGTAGAATTCCAGAAGTCGTGGCACAATTCTGCCATTGTTTATACAATGCACACCTGTGCCTATTGGTTAGTAAGGGTGTGCATCAATATAGAGCAAGGGGCTGGAGGGGAAAGCCAGGACCATGACAGCAGATTGCAGAGGAGGTCTCTACCCCACACCAAGACTGGACAGTGAAGCACATTGATGAATTCATCTCCCTCCTTTAGGCAAGTTGCTTGAATCGTAGAACACCAAATTGATACTTTCTTCAGCCTTACAGAGGACTAAATCAAATAAGGCACTTACAATAAGGATGTATTAATAGCACAGTTGCATTAATTTGTATGCTATATTTGCCTTCACGTTTAAAGTTTTCTATTTATAGGACAAGTAAAAAAACACATATTGGGGTTTGACAATGAAACAGTATATTATAAAAAATATCCTTTAGCTTACAATTTACAAACTGTATTACAATCGTATCGGTTAACCTGTAATGCTGGCATGTCATCCAGCTATTATGATTTTAAAAAAAAAAAAGCCTAAAAACAGGGCGAATAATTTACATTCTGTATCAGGAAAACAATTAAGACCATGCCCAGGATTTCTTACATCTTCTGTTAATATTTTGTCTACAATTATGTCAAATATACCTGCTAGCCCTGTACAAATAGAAAATAATGCATACAATGTAATCAAAAAGTTAGCAAAAAAGTAGTCTGTAAACTATCATAAAAGTATCACTATATTAACAGATCTACAAGCAGCGGTGTAACAGGGTTAAAAGACATTAAGGCAATATTACATTAAGTTACAAAATCATAGGTAATACTTTCTGTTTTAAACCAAAGTGTTATATAAGGCAGGTATATGGTCCCAGCAAAAAAATGTGTAGCACTGATACTGGAGTAATCCATCTTAAATATGAAATATTTTTATATGGAATTGTACAGTAGTGTACCATTGTATAGGCAGACCTACACACTTGAATGGTCACGGAATACTTTTTCTTAGTGGCACTTTTGTATGGTACTGTCTTCCACAAGCAGGCAGGCTACTGTGTAATGCAGAAGATAATGTCCATTTAAAAAGGCAAAACATCTTGCTTGGGTTCACAGAATAATGACTGACATTTTCTGAGTCATTGCGTGCGGTCTTCAGCCGAATCCCCTGATCTTCTAGCCGCATCACTGTTACTGAAACCTGCTGAGAAACAAACACGCTCATCACTGAAAGAAGCGCGGACAGTTTTATACAGTTCTGAAGAATAAACAGTCCTTGTTGCTCATAACAATGAATTGGGCTTTCCTTATAACACTTTTAGAGGAAAAAAAAAAAAAAATTGATTGCAAGAACTGATCTCAAACACCTGTGTAAAAAACATTCCTCCATATCCCATTACAGCAGTGTTTCTCAATTCCAGTCCTCATGGACCCCCAACAGGTCATGTTTTCAGGATTTCCATTATTTTGCACAGGTGATTTGATCAGTTTCACTGCCTTAGTAATTACCACAGCTGTTTCATCTGAGGGAAATCCTGAAAACATGACCTGTTGGGGGTCCATGAGGACTGGAGTTGAGAAACACTGCATTACAGCAATGTAATTGTACTTATATGTACAATTACTTTGGTCTAAGCTTTTAAAGGTCAGCATACCATACCTGTGGGATTCCCATGGAAGTTGGAAAATACTGTAGTAGCCACCGCTACCAGTGATCTCCACACGCTTCTGAGTACTATGTAAGCTGTCCTGCTGCATTATGAACAAAGGAGGTCGGCCACTCAGCATAAGTGCCATTCAGAGAATTCTTTTGATTTTCTCAATGAATTTAAAGCATTCTATGATTGGATGAGGCAGGACAGTGGTGATAAAGTTGTCTGCATGCAAATGCTGTCTGTCTAGGAATGCCCATTCCTGGCATTCCAATATCTGCACAATTCTGAAACACAAGTTAGGTTAGGATGTGAAAAGAAAAGGGATTCACAAAAGAAGCAGTTACATCATGAACAAAGCAATGCCCAAAAATTTCTCAAAAATTATGCTTTATTGCAAACAATGCATATAATAGACTTTTAGGTAAATACCTCAGTTAGCCATCACCACAAGATGAGACAATACAAAAAAGTATGACCTAAAACCAAAAAATTGTTTAAAAGCAAAACATCATGTAATGACACTGGGTCTAGTACATATGCAGCACAGACACATAGGTAACACCACCATATAGGGGATGTAATCAAAAAATTCTCACCAATATAGGCTATACATCCAACACGCAATTCTGTAAACATCGGTACCAGTATAAAATGGGTTAAGGAACCCGACTAAATGTATGAAAAATACAGCTCAGGGCAAGAATCAAAGAGACATATGCAATACAAAATGAGATTGCTTATAGAAGCACCAAATCCTGATGCTATATTGTGTTGCCACACACTTGAGAAAAATGATTATACAAAATGTATTGTTTGCAATAATGCATAATTTTTTAGAAATGTTTGGGTATCGCTTTCCATTCATGATGTAACCGCTTCTTTTGTGAATCCCTTTTCACATCCCCCCTTTTTGGCGGTTTGGTTACTTGGCAGATAATATACGTTTAGCGATACGGTAAACCTACAGGGCCTCTTGTTCTTTTGTTATTAGTTAGGACGTGAACAGAGCCTTAAGTGAAAGGGTTTATAAATGCCACTTTTTGCATCACAACCCATTTGGTAAGAATTTTGTTTTTTTTAAAGGCAGTTTGGCTTACCTATACATTCCATATCTTGGAGTAGAGGGCGCAGGCTGGATATATTTGTAGCAAGTAATGCAGAGTACCCCAGGAATAGAAGGAAAGTAAAAAAATCTATCTTAATTGTACACTATAGGACACAGACTGAATATTCATAGATCCTGGAACATTCCCAAGCAATGGAATATGAAGGTTGGGTAACAATTAGGCAAAGAGAACTGTGCTAAAAGCTACCTCTGCAGAAGAGTAAACATCCACCTCGTGTAACTTTGAAAAGTTAAGAACAGGAGTCCAGGTGCCGGATGTACAAAGCTGGGCAAACAAAGGCTTGCTATAAGAATGTCCAGGAAATTCAATGGCGGTAGAGTGAGCACAAAATCATGCAGGGGGAGAATCATATGTCTGGGGGGGGGGGGGGGGGGTGGATGGAATTACACTCAATCTAACCAGGCAATCCAAAAGTAAGAAGTAGCCTCAGCCTGTAAACCACGCCCCTAACTTTTTTTGTCATAGACTAGGCCGCCCTACGACTAAGCCCCAGAGGGCATGGTTTATTGGAGACCCACAGGCTGAGGCAGCTTCTCACTTTTGGATTACACGGGCTGGTTGGTTTGCGTGATGATCCCCACACAGACAAGAATGCTCTCTAGATTAGCATATGGATACTACCAGCACCCAGTTGACTGAGCATCTTAGCAGAGGTTTATTCCTGCCTGGAGTGGTGCCACAATAGGTTTATAAGGGCTTATTCACACTTGACTAAATTTCTAACTCTTACCAAATGCTCCTACAGCTTTAGTATAGACGTTAGACAGGCGTTAATGAGCTTTAGACTGGCTTTTTCCAAGCATTCAAAACGCTACCCAAAACGCCCTATCCGCAGTTTTGAAGTGTTTTATAAGCAATTGACAAGTGATAATACCACACCACACAATCTAAATAAACTAATGTTTTTAACGCTCCACAAGGGCACCACAAATGGCTCGCAAACGCCTGCCAGTGCATTTGAGGAGCGTTACCATAGACTTGAATGGGAGGTGATGAAAGGCTTCAAACGCCTCATGACTCCACATGAGGCTTCAATTTTGAAGCAACATGACGCTTCATGTTTTGATAATGTGAACAGCACTGTGTGCCGCCCATAATATTGTATAGGCGTTTGAGGAGCGTTAAACATGTCCCTTAAATGCCTGCTTTCAAAGCCAGTGTGAATTAGGCCTAAGGCTGCAGTGCACATTGAGCGTTCTGCTTTTGTGTGTATGTTCTTAAAAAGAGCTGTCTTCTCCATCTGGCAATAATGGATTTTGAAGCAAGATGTCCTTTGCAAGGTCCTGATGGTAGTCAATCTTCCTGAAAGAAGCAGTTTCTTTGAGGTAGACTCTGATGGCGCTTAACTCATACAGTGAAGAGTTATTTCCTTTCCAATAAGGTGGATTTAAGGATGGTCTTGTGCATACAACTGCCTTGCACTTAATGGTAAAGGCAGAGAACCAGATTAAGGTCCCAAGAAAGCACAGGGTGCTGTAAGGGGTCCTTATCTGAGATACACCTTGAATAAAAGTTCTGACGAGGTAGAGTGAGGTCAGGGTTTTTGTTTTTTTTTTTTTTTTAGAAAATGGAAATCTGTCCTTTAAGAGTGCTTAAGACCAAGTTTTGGTCAAAGTCCTAATTGTAGGAAGGTCAGAATGCACAGAGTAATCTTAGATTTAAGCGCCTGTGTTCTTTTTGGGTGTGGTTTTCCTTGCATTTAGTAGGAATTACCTACTCCGAGACCTCTGAGAAAGTACAGCCATTCTCAGGATTTGTCATAACTAAGACAACTTGTTCCACACAAAAAACAGCAAGGCAGGAGTTTTATTGCTGTAGTTGCTCACTTAAATTATGGTTGTGAAATACAGAATTGTACTAGTTGTTCATTGCCCTTGTCCAGTTTCAAACATGATCAGCAGAATCTTTTGGATGACGGAATATCTATAGGTACAGAAAGATATACAAGATTGAGATGACGGGACTACTACCAGAACAGACCATTTTTGACCAACCTCGGTCATCAGATCAAGGCAATTATGCATTTTTGGAGGTGGGTTAGTTTAGTTAAAGAAATGGGGGCAAAAAAAAAGGATAAATGCACTTATCCTTTAAAAAAGAATTGAAAATGCTTGACTTACATCTGAAGCATGTTCCACATACAGGTGATCTGCAGAAAACAGCCATAAGCCCTTATGAAAGTAAAAGTTAATTATATAACAGCAGTGAAATGAGAAAATGTACGACCATAGTTTCTTGTAGAAAAAATAAAAAATGTACCAGTGTCTAAACTCTCCTGCTTTGTGTTTAAATGGTCTTTCAAGTCAGTGGAGTTTTGCAGTGCAGTATCTGGAATGGCATCAGCTAGTTGGTCTCTTGCATGATCTAGAAAATGGTACAAACATATTAAAAACAACTTAAGAAAATTGAAGTCGTCTCTATGTATCAAAAAGTAGAAAAAAACACCTAAAAATGGGTTTCAACTGTTTGCTACTCTAACTTTACACTTTCATTTGTAAGAGAAAACTTTTCTTTTTACTTAACTACTCCCCTACCGGGCAGTTTTACCCCCTTCCAGGCCAAATTTTCAGCTTACATCGCTGTTGCACTTTGAATGACAATTGCGCAGTCATGCAACACTGTACCCATAAGAAATTTTTATCTTTTTTTCACACAAATAGAGCTTTCTTTTGGTGGTATTTTAATTGCCACTAGTTTTTTTTTAATTTTTTTTGCACAAAAAAGCAAAAACGGGGGGGGGGGGGGGGGGGGGGGGGGGAGGGGGGCGGGGGGGGGTGCAATACCTGCTGATCCTACCATGATGGTCCTTATTCAGATACTTCATGCTGTAGCATGACAAGTTTCCTAGCTGTGTTCCAATGTTCTCAGCCTGACATGTGCCCCTGGTACAGACCACCAGTGACCATGCCAACCCACACAGAGTAAGCACAATCCACTGTTATGATCAGAAAATTATTCTGGAGAAATGAAGAGTAGTAGTCACTAAAGCTGGCCATAGACTGTTCAAATCTTGGCTGATTCAGCAGGGACCAGTCGAGATTATAAACATGTCGATCAATCAACTTGGGTACAACCAGCTTGTCAGATTTTACATTACATTACATTACATTGAGTTTATATAGCGCCAAAGGGGTTTGCTCAGCGCTGTACAATAGAGGGGGGGACAATACATGAAACATTACAGCAGCTACGAACAGCACACGAGGGGTAAGAGGGCCCTACTCTTTCGAGCTTACAATCTGGGAGGGAGGAGGGTAGTGGTACAGGAGGAAGTGGCTGTGGGGGATGGAGTGGTAGGAGGAATGAAGGAGAGCAGCAGTTAGGTGAGGGTGGGGTAGGCTTCCCTGAAGAGGTGGGTTGGGTTTTCAGGGAGCGCCTGAAGGTGAGGAGGGAAGGTGACAGTCTGATGGATTGGGGGTAGTGAGTTCCAGAGGATGGGGGAGGACCTGGTGAAGTCTTGCAGACGTGCGTGTGAGGAGGAGACCAGGGAGCAAGATAGAAGGAGGTCCTGTGAAGAGCGAAGGGTACGGGTAGGGTGTACTTGGGAATCAGGTCGGTGAGGTAGTTAGGGGCAGTGTTGTGAATGGCTTTGTAGGTCAGAGTGAGTAGTTTGAATTTGATGCGTTGGGCGATAGGGAGCCAGTGGAGGGAGAGGCAGAGGGGGGTGGCAGAGGTGGAGCGGCTGGTGAGGTGGATGAGTCTGGCAGCTGAGTTCAGGATGGTCTGAAGCGGGGAGAGTTTGCACTGGGGTAGGCCGGTGAGGAGGGAGTTTGCAGTAGTCAAGGCGTGAGATAATCAGGGAGTGCACAAGTTGTTTAGCGGTGTCTGGGGTAAGGAAGGTGCGTATTTTGGCGATATTGCGGAGGTGGAGCCTGCATGTGTTTGTCAGTGATTTGACATGAGGTTGGAAGGAGAGGTTAGAGTCCAGAATGACCCCAAGGACTTTGGCTTGCGGGGCGGGATTGATGGTGGTGATGTTAGTAGTGATGGATAGGATGGGGGGGGGGGGGCGCGGGCAGGAGGGGAAGACGAGAAACTCGGTTTTGGAGAGGTTGAGTTTGAGGAAATGGAGCGACATCCAGTCAGAGATGTCGTTTAGGAGGTGAGTGATGCGGGCGGAGAAAGTGGAGGTGAGGTGAGGGTGGAGAGGTAAATTTGAGTGTCATCAGCATAGAGATGGTAGTTGAAGCCGTGGGAGTGTATGAGTTTGCCAAGGGAGGAGGTGTAGATGGAGAAGAGAAGGGGTCCAAGGACAGAGCCCTGGGGGACCCCAACAGAGAGGGGAGAGGGAAGGGGAGGTGGCACCATTGTAGGAAACGCTGAAGGAGCGTCGGGATAGGTAAGAGGAGAACCAGGAGAGAGCGGTGTCTCTGATGCCAAGGGAGAATAGTTTATTAAGGAGGAGGGGGTGGTGGTCAACTGTGTCGAAGGCCGCGGAGAGGTCCAGGAGGAGGAGGACAGAGTAGTTGGCTTTGGCGGTAAGTAGGTCGTTGGTGATTTTGAGGAGGGCGGTTTCGGTGGAGTGTAGGGGACGGAAGCCGGACTGTAGTGGATCAAGGAGGTTGTTGTCAGTTAGGTGGGCGCTTAGGCGGTTGTAGACTAAGCGCTCCAGGAGTTTGGAAGCGAGTGGCAGCAGGGAGATGGGTCTGAGGTTGTTTGGATCAGAGGGGTCCAGGGAGGGCTTTTTGAGTATGGGGGTGATGTGCGCATGCTTTAGGGGGGAGGGGAATACGCCGGTAGAGAGGGAGAGATTGAAGATGTGGGTGAGGGAGCAGATGAGGGAAGAGGGGGGTGACTGGAGGAGTCGAGAGGGGATAGGGTCTAGGGGGCAGGTAGTGAGGCGGGCTTCAGAGAAGACCCTGGTGACTTCCTCAGTGGTAGCAGGGCTGAAGGAGTGCAGAGCTGGTGGGGTTACGGTAAGCGGGGTCTTGGGGTGTGGAGGGGGCAGTGCGGTTGCGAGGTCAGAGGAGGAAAGAGATGAGGGGGAGATGGGGGGGAGGCTAGGTGGGGAGGTAGATTGCGAGTTGACTATGTCCTGACGGATAGCATCAATTTTATTGTGGAAATGAGTGGCAATCTCGTGGGCGGTGAGTGAGGTACTGAGTGGAGGAGGGGGGGGGAGAGAGAGCAGGGAGTTGAAGGTGGAGAAGAGTCGGCGAGGGCAGGAGGAGAGGGTGTTAATCAGGTTTACGAAGTAAGCTGCTTGCGGCTTGGCGGCGTGGAGGGAGGAGGTGTAAGTGAGGAAGGCAGATTTGTAGAGGGAGAATGAACGGGGGACCTGGTTTTGCGCCATATCTCTCCAGCGCACGACTGCGACGTTTGAGGGCATTTAGTGTGGTCGTTCTGCCATGGTTGGAGCGGTCTGGGTTTGATGTGTAGCGTGTGGTTAGGGGTGCCAGAGAGTCTAGGGTAGCTGATAGTGAGTCGTTGTACGTGTTAGTGGCTAGGTCAGGACAAGACAGTGGAAGGATGCTGTCGTGTAGGCGGTCGGCAGCTGAGTGGAGGGGGGCCGGGTTCAGGTTGCGAAGGTTGCGGCTGGTGATGGTTTGGCGCTCTGGGGGGGGGGGAGTTAGGGGAAGGGGAGATGGAGAACGTGAGGAGGTGGTGGTCGGAGAGAGGGAAAGGGGGTGTTAGAGAACTGGTTGAGGGTACAGAGGTGGGAGAAGACGAGGTCCAGGGTGTTCCCAATGATGTGGGTGGAGGATTGAGTGTGCTGTGTGAGCGCGAAGGAGGAGGTTAGGTGGAGGAATTGGGAAGTAGCCGGGCTGTTGTCATTGATGGGGATATTGAAGTCCCCGAGGATGATGGTTGGTAGCTCAGAGGAGAGGAAGAAGGGAAGCCAGGCAGCGAAGTCATCCAGGAAGCGGGGTATGGATCCGGGAGGCCTGTAGATCACTGCGATCCTTAGGGGGGTGGGTGAGAAGGGCCGGATGCAGTGAGCCTCGAAGGAGGAGAAAGTTAGGGAGGGAGGATTAGGGAGGACCTGGAAGGTGCTCAGCGGTGATAGGAGCAGGCCGACCCCACCACCTTTGTGACCGCTCAGTCTTGGTGAATGGGACCAGACGAGACCTCCATAGGAGAGTGCCGCAGGGGAGGTGGAGTCAGTGGCCTGTACCCAGGTTTCGGTGATGGCTAGGAGGTTAAGGGAGCGGGAGATAAAGAGGTCATGGATGGCAGTAAGTTTGTTGCAGACCGAGCGGGCGTTCAGGAGTGCAACCGAGAGAGGGGGGATGGATGCGGGGGATTTTACATGCAATTATTGCTAGCAGCTTTTATAGCTGCTAGAAAGTAACCACTATGTTCTCCCAGCGGGGATGGCTATAAGCGCCCCCCTCGTTACAACTAAAATTGTAAGTGTATTTTATTAGGATTTTATGTGATAGACCCACAAAAAGTGGCACATAATTGTGAAGTGGAAGGAAGATTGAATGGTTTTCAAAATTTTTTACAAAGAAAAGTGTGGCGTGCATTTGTAATCAGCCCCTATTACTCAGATACCCCTAAATAAAATCTAGTGGAACCAATTGCCTTCAGAAGTCACATAATAAGCAGAGTCCACCTGTGTGTAATTTAATCTCAGTATAAATACAGCTGTTCTGTGAAGCCCTCAGAAGTTTGTTACAGAACATTAGTGAACAAACAGCATCGTGAAGGCCAAGGAACACACCAGACAGGTCAGGGAGTAGGTTGTGGAGAAGTTTAAAGCAGGGTTAAGTTATAAAAAAAAAAAATCTCAAGCTTTGAACATATCACAGAGCACTGCTCAATCCATCATCCAAAAATGAAAAGGGTATGGTACAACTGCAAACCTACCAAGACATAGCTGTCCATCTAAAAATGACAGGCCCGGCAAGGACAGCATTAATCAAAGAAGCAGCGAAGAGGCCTATGGTAACTCTGGAGGAGCTGCAGAGATCCACAGCTCAGGTGGGAGAGTCTATAGGACAACTATTCATCGTGCAGTCCACAAATCTGGCCTTTGTGGAGGAGTGGCAAGAAGAAAGCCATTGTTGAAAGAAAGCCATAAGAAGTCCCGTTTGCAGTTTGCGAGAAGCCATGTGGGGGACAGTAAATAGGAAAAAGGTGCTCTGGTCAGATGAGGCAAAAATTGAACTTTTTGGTCTAAAAGCAAAACGCTATGTGTGGCGGAAAACTAACACTGCAAATCATCCTGGACACACCATCCCCACACCTTGAAACGTGGGTGGCAGCATCATGTTATGTTGTGGAGATGCTTTTCTTCAGCAGGGACAGGGAAGCTGGTCAGAGTTGATGGGAAGATGGATTCAGCGAAATACAGGGCAATTGTAGAAGAAAACCCGTTAAGAGTCTGCAAAAGTCTTGAGACTGGGGCGGAGGTTCAC